CGTAACTATAAGAAGAAGTTTAGTCTTAGTCAGGTAGACCCGGTAACGCTGGGAGTTATGTATGAGGACTGTCAAGATGATTTTTTTCCTGTATCTGTGTTATTTCTGACTTAATGGGCACACAATACTCCTAATCCTTTTTTGTTTTTTTGAGGTGGTTTTGTTTTGTTTTGGTTTTTTTCCCCTGAGAATTTTTAGCCTTAAGGTCAGTGTAAATGAGCTGGAATATTCTTGGGTTTTTCCATCAGTTTTAAAAAGTACTTTTAAGGGTATTACATTTTACAGATTATTGTTGGAACCCTCTCATCACTTCCTTATATTTATGGATTTTAATGAAATATTTAAAGAACAATGTGTTCAAAATTCCTTGCAGGAAAATCTGAAGCAATTGTAGTGAAGTTATTTTGAATTTGAGTATTAACAGTGCTTTTCTAGTCACTAACCCCTATCGGAAGCCGATGTAATTAATCTGTGGCTAGTTCTGCACATTACATTTTGTGTAAATTAGAGTTGTTTCTTTGGCTTTGAGTTACAATTCCCACCCATTTTTGCAATTCTGCATCAGTTGACATACAAGCATGACAGAAGAATTTTTGCATTTAAAAAAGTAAAACCATTACCTGCATGCACAATTTTGGAAATGTGTGTATTGTTGCATCTTGGCATTAATTTAATTAAGTTGGCTAATTATTAGGCAGAATATTATTTGCTGCTTACATTTTCACTTGCTCATTTCATAACTTAAAAAAGAAGTGGATAACCAGTGTTCCCATTTTACACATGTGGCTTGTACAAGGTCAAACAACAAACTACTGTTTGAAGTAAGTCCCAAAACTTGTGGTGTCGGGTTCTGACTTCTATACTGCAGTTCCTCATCAAGCAAAACAACATGAAATGATCCAGATACGTGGATCAGTGAAATTTGTTGAAGTTGCTGCTGCCAGGATGTAATTTTTTTCTTTTTGCAGAAAATGCATTTTAGCCCTTTTTCTGTCCCTACCTTGATCCCTCCTTCCTCATCTGCTTCTTTTTCTTTCTTCTATTTCTATCAGTTCTTTCTTGGATCCCCTGTGTAAAATTTCTCCATTAGTTCTTTTGTGTTCTTCCTGAATAACTTTGTAAATAAGCCTGATCAGGTAGTCTTGCCCTAAGAAGCTTCTCTGAGCAGTATGCATGACTTTGGTAGGAGCTTCTCCTGTGCGAAAAGAATTAAGAATTTATTATTCCTGTAAACTTGTACTATTTCCTTTGCTGCTAAAATATAGGCTTTGAACCTATATTGAATGGTCTCAGATATTCAGAAATCTGTAGATAAGTAACTTGAGAGGCCTAAGTTCAGATTAGTGCAATGCTGATAATTTGAACCTTTGCAGTTTAGCTGTTTATTGTACCTTGATCTAATTTGTGTAGGTTGGTTTTTTTGTTTGTTTGTTTTTTGTGAACAGCAACAATGATCATAGATGCCCCCTGGAATGGGGGCATTCCAGCTAAAGAATGGTGTTTTGTTTTGAGTTTAGAAATAAAGTTTAGACCTTGATTTAATTTTGGGTAATACATTGGAGGTCTTCAGAGTATAGTTATTAATAGGAGAAATTTAGTAAACTTAGTAAGAACTAAGCTTTGAACTTCTGTTTTTTAAACACAGTTTTGCATTAATTTGTAATATGAAGTTGGGTAGTCATTTTTTTTCTCTTTTTTATAAATTGATTTCTTTGCTTTTGTATGCAAAGAATTATCTAGGCTACATAACTCCTTTAGGGATGGTAGTTGGCCATCATACTAACCGGATCTGAAATGAACAGCGGTTGTGGTAATCCATTCTCATCCTTCATTTACCTAGCATGACTAATCACCATACCACTTAAACTGTATTTCTTTTCAGTCAGAGTATCACTGTTGAAGACATTTCAAGGCATTGTCCTTTACTATCTTGTTATTGCTTGATTGAGCTTGTTGCCTGATAAACAATCTGAATCTTTTTTTCTTAGTGTTGGCTGGTACTTGCGGAATTTTACCAGGGAGCATTGTATTTACCCTTATGTACAAATAAGATTTCAAGTATGGTTGCTTAGCTAAGATTACCAGCACTTGTGATGGCAAGAATATTGGCATGTTAGTAAAGAGAACAGGACACATTAAGTGGCTAGGACCTCAACAGACTTTGGTGAATTGAAATTGTTGATAAGATGTCATTGGTATACTCTGTATCTGGTTTAGTTTCTAAAAAGGATTTTAATCTGAAGAGAAGATTTCTTATGCTTGTTTGAGTGAAAAAGATACCTCTTGGTAAATATTGAATGAGAAGTAACAACATTACCTTAAGCTACATCAATGTTAGATTTCTTTACTGGTTCTTAAAGTGAAAATGGTTGAATTCTTATTCTGGTATGTTTTGGGTAGAGCTGTAATTACTGATGTGCTGACAGGTCTTGGAATTCAGATACCATGCTAAATATTTTCCAATGCCAGGTTTTGGTTCTCAAAAAGTGTGAAGTGAGGGATGACTCGGTATAAAAACTTACTGTCAGCAGTAACCTGAATCCAGAGCTGTAACTTTCTTGGAATCATGGTCTTTGATATTTGAAAGTGCTATACATTCAAAAGGCGTCCTACAAACCATTTCAGTGATATCCAGTGCATTTGAATCTACTTTGTGATCCGCTGTAGAGGTCACAGTAACTTTCTGATGGTGTATTCATAAACCCTGCAAAGCAGACTAGACTGTGATGGCTCTTGTTTTCATGTGTGCTTTTCTTTGCTTGACTACCTAATTCACAAACAATAGCATGAGACTATGGTAATTGAAACTAACCCTGAAAAATACTGGTCCGTAAACTGTTGCATCTAGACAACATTACAGAGTGAGTAAAGGACAGTGGGAAAACACTCTTACTTTCCCTATTGGCATTGTTTGCAGTTGCTTAAACTGTTGTGGTTGTGAGCAATTCTGTAGAGTCTTTCAGACAACATTTCTGCTTCAGCCATGTTAGGTCTGCAAATGGTAAACATTTTTAGGTTCAGAAAGGAATTTCAGAAGGTATTCAGAAATACTCAGTATTTATCTGTAAGTCATTTTCTTGGCTATGGGCCAACCTACAAGCTCCTGTGCAGCCACAATTACTAAATAATGTTAAGTGATAAGTATTTTAGTATTTGTTAGTTGCTAATAATATGGCATTCTATGCTAATGTTTAGAATTCAGCTCAGAAGCCTTTGGGAGACATGTATTTGAAAATAGGGCTTTCTCTGGCCTCTTAATGCTTCTAGCTGATCTTGTGGGGGCCTGTCTTTGAGCTTTCTCTTGTGGCAGTGTGCATTGCAAAATGGCCTCCCCCAAGCCCCAGATATGTTCTTGCAGGCAGAGACACTTTTCTTTCAGTCTGTCTGCTCTTCCAGGTGTTCTTCTTCAAAGTCACATAGTCTGTTTCCTCATGTGCAACTATCTGCTCTGCTCACCTAGCTGTGGTCGTAGAGGAGTGCCACAGCTAGGAGGTAAGGGCAGGGGGTGTGACTTACCTCCTGTCTTCTCTTTCAAGTGATAGAGTTTATCTCTGCAGCTAGGCTAGGCTTAGTGCAGGACTGATAGCCTGCTGCCTAATGATTTTGGTGTTGTTTGGTCCCACAAGTTGAGAATTGCAGTATTATTGTGGTACTGGTATACTGCTTATCACTAGTGCTGAACCTTTTTTGTCCAAAAGAAAGTTTAATAAAGCTTAGACTTTTTCAATTAGCTATACTATTCCGAAAGCAAAGTGGAATTACTAAGAATATAATCTTAAGTGACAAAAAAAGAAAAAGCTCTGCCATACCTTCTTGATGTTATGTTTAGCACGTATACAGCATGGTGCTGTATCTTGCTTAAAAATGACACCTTTCCGTAGTTAAAAGTGGCTTGAATCATAGAATCATTTAGGTCGGAAAAGACCTTTAAGATGATCACGCCCAACTGTTAACCTAGCACTGCCAAGTCCACCACTAAACCATGTCCCTAAGCAGCACATCTACACGTCTCTTAAATACCTCCAGGGATGGTGACTGATCCAGTGCAAGTGCCTCAAGTTCCTTTCCTTTTCTGCATCTTAATATATGCATCACTGTCCTGACATTCAAAGTCTGGGTTTTGTGTGGATGCAAACTGAGTAAGTTCTGTGGAAGTGTGTTCCATTTTTGGTTACTTTGTAGCAGCATCCCTGCCATAAAATCAGCACTTATCAAGGTTATACTAATAATTTGTATCCTAGTTGAGAATTCACAACTAGGATATAGTTGTATAGTTATGCTTTCAATTTCTGATTTGTCACGGTCTGTGAGACCTTTTAATTTAGAAATGTTGTACTGCAGGTAAAAGGGTTTTGAGGTAGACTACTTTTTTCTAGTAATAAAATTTATAAACATGTATTTAGACATACATTCATTTTATATATTTTGTACTTACTGACTATACCGACTTCATCTTACAAAACTATGTTCTAGATATTTTAGAATTCCAAGTTCTTCTACAAGTGATTAATGGTTTTTATATCTCACATTTTCTGTGTTATCTGAGACACTATATTCTTTTTTTTCAGAAGAGGTTTCTGTAACCTAGGTATTGTTAAAATACCAAGTTGAACTTACGAAATCACAGTCACTTAAGAAGAATTGTGCCCTCTCTGTCCCAAGTATTAATAGCTGTGCTTACAGGATTTAAACCCTCTGAGTTTAGAGGAAGACCATCTTGAGCTCTGAGTTCTATTTGTGGGTTTAAAATGAAGAAAACAATCCTCATGCATAGGTTAAGTGTTGTACCTTCTCTGATTACTACTTCTGCTTTCATAATTTTGAAATTATTAATGAATCTTACGTTTTGTTTTCAGATCCCTCAGGGAAGGACTTCCTGAAGGACACCGTTTAAATGTGTGACATTACGCAGGAAGATCACACCAGGATAATCATCTTGCTTTGCACCTTGTTTTCCTAGGGTAAGTTTGGGCTTTACGTCTTCACAATCGTGTGTTTAGTGGGGGAGATGGGTGAATAAGTACAAGATGGTACACGTTACTTTCTTTATAACTACATTCGGAAATCTAAAAGCCTGTAGAGACAAGGTCCTATGGTGCGACTGTAGAAGGTCAGAGATTCTTCCTGCAGTGATGTCATACACTTTGTGTCTTCTGTAGTTCTTCAGAATTTTTCTGTTTAGACATAGAAACGCACTATTATTTTCAATTCAAAGACTGAAATTAGTTGGGGAAATCAAACAACCCCTCCTTTGAATCTGTAACAAAGATGAAGGCGGGGAGGAGGCAATGAACTGGACTGTTTTCAACTTGTTATAACAGAATTAGGCAGATTGAAATAAGATAATTGAACTAACTTACCATGAATTTCCAGTGTGTATGTTTTAAAAATGTACAAAACTATAAAGTACCTTTAAATTAGTGGTATACTGAAAAGAAAAATCTTCCATTTGAGGAGCAATTTAGTAACGATCACATATTAAATGTGAAGCCATTATGATGTTGGGTTTTTACCAGGTTTATTACTAAATTAACATAGATTTCGTTCTGTGACTTTGCTTTGTAAAATCAGTGCAGAGTAGAAACTGTATAAAAAGTGAAAAGAAAACCACACTGGTTTTAAATATCTTCAGTGATTCAACTCCCACTATGGTGAAAATCTTCCATGTCAGAAATTTTGTGAGAGACACTGTTTGTTTTCACTTTGTCAGTGTCCCATTGCACCTTACTCTTTGTATTTACTCACTTCAAAATGTATCGATTTGATAAAAAATTTATTGCTGGAGGAGTAAGAACCTGTGCTACGTAAGGATGTAGAGTATCTGAAAGTATTGATTGTTTCTTATACTAGTTGCAAATTGACAGCGTCTTCCTGATTAAATGAAATAATCACGTGGATGAAGATTTTTGTGTTCTAGTTTAGTCTATGTCAAATCTGTATTGTGCTATGGTAAACAGAAAACATTTGTAGTGGAAGTGCTGACTAAACTTCTCATTCTAATAGTTTGAATGATGCTACTATGATAAGCTTTGCTTTAGAAAGAAAACATTGGGTTTATTTGTAGTAATATAAACACTGCTTGTGAAGGATTTACTTTTGCTAAGTATTTTTATTCCCAGAGCCGTTTTCTGTTAGCTCTAAATTCTGTGTTTTAAGAATATAAAAAACACAGTGGAAACAGTAAAAAGCAAAATTTAAAATGCAAGTTCTCTTTCTGAATGTGTCTTTGAGTAAACTGATATAAACAAAAAAATGAAAAGTAATTCCTAAGACACAGCATAAAAGTTTCAGTTCTTGCAATATAAAAACTCTCAAATATAAATATTAGATCAAGTTTACTTTCCTCTTCATTTTGTAATGAAATTGATACTTTGTTATAAAAAAGATACTTTCCTTGACTGATTTTTCTGTAACTGAAAGCTGTTACATATGTGTTTTTTATTTTATATTTTGGACAACGAATTTCATTACAAATACTGTTACATAAATACTATGTTTCTGATCAGAATGTCAGTCTTCTGTTTCTAGGTGTTAGTAAGTTGTAAAGTTCTGTTGGCCAGGCATTGATTCTATACAAGATATTAAAGGTTTAAATATGTTTATCTTCTATTGCAACTTTTAGTGATACAAATACTTCCTTTAATGCTGCATGTCTTAAACTCAGATCTGTTTTAGCAGTCGTCAAGTAGTTTTACAAGCATTAAAGCAGATTTTGAAAGCTTTTTGGATGACAGATCCTACTTTTTTTTTTTTTTTAAATTAAAGGAAGGTACTATTGAGAAAGTACCATTCTCGACAAAGTGTTGCTAAGAATGATGAACTACATAACAAATAAAGCTGAGATATTGAGACTAAAATTTCGGTATTGATGCTCATTAAACAAACCTGTAAATAGCTTTTATACGAAGGAAAAAGTATACATACATTTATGTTGTTATTTTGTACTCCAGAAATGTAAAACCAAATATGTTAAGTATAGTAGTTGTACCTTTCATTTATAGTACCATGTGATAGCTTTCTTTTTACCAAGAAAATGAGAAAAGTATTTTTATCAAAATATTTTCACAAAATTATAGAACGGTGTAGGAGGTACCTCTGGATGACCTCTGGAGGTCATCTTGTCCAGCCTCCCTGCTCAAGCAGGGTCTCCTAGAGCAGGTTGCCCATGACCATGTCCAGGTGACTTGAATATTTCCAATGAGGGAGCCTTCACAACCTCTCTGGGCAACCTGTGCCACTGCTCAGTCACCCTTACAATAAAAAAGTGTTTCCTGATGTTCATATGGCACCTCCTGTGTTTCTGTCTGTGCCTGTTGCCTCTTGTCCTGTCACTGGATGCCACTGGAAAGAGTCTGGTTCTGGCTTCTTTGCACCTTCCCTCCAAATATTTGTACACATTGATGAGATCCCCCCTGAGGCTTCTCTTCTCCAGACTAAACAGTCCCAGCTCCTTCCTTGTATGAGAGATGCTTTAGTCCCTTAATCAGCTTAGTGGCTCTTTGCTCTCCCCAGTAGCTCCGTATCTCTCTTGTACTGTAGAACTGGACACAGTGCATCAGGTGTGGCCACACCAGTGCTGCTTAGAGGGGAAGGATCACCTACGTTGACCTGCTGGCAATACTTTGTCTAATGCCGCTCAGGTTACTGTTAGCCTTGTTTGCCTTAAGTGCATGTTACTGGCTCATGTTCAGCTTGCTGACCACTGGTATCCCCAGGTCCTTTTCTGCAAAGCTGATTTCCAGCCAGTTGGCTTCCAGCATATACTGGTACGTGGGGTTATTTCTCCCTGGATGTAGGACTTTGCAGTGCACGAGGTTTCTGTCAGCCCATGTCTTCAGCCTGTCAAGGTCTCCCTGAATGGCAGCACAGCCTTCTGTCAGCCACTCCTCCCAATTTTGTCATCAGCAAACTTGCTGAGGGTACATTCTGCCCCATCATCCAAGTCATTAATGAAGATGTTGAACAGTATTGGCCCCAGTATTGGCCCCTGGAGTACACTGCTAGTTACTGGCCCCCGACTAGATTTCATGCCACTAGTCACAACATGCTGGGCCCAGTCATTCAGCCGTTCAATTTTTTATGTTTTCCTCATAATGTAATTGTTTCTAAAACAGTAAATATCTTTCCATTTGCAGTATGTATATAAGCAAAGTCTTCTAATTAATAATTGAGAGTTAGTGGTAATAGTTATAATTGATGACAGTTTCAATAAAGCCACTGAAACCTTGTAATAATTCTGTGGAAGTTTGAGTGTAGATATAGTAGTTTTTGTTTACAGTTATTAAAAGTTTTTGTTTTTTCCTAGAGATAGAAGGAACGATAGTACATTGGAATCTTAAAATCTCAGACATAAGTCTTATTTTTCTGTACCTAGTATCTGTATGACAATATTTGTATTTTTCTGTAGAATTCAGGTTAGAAACTTCTTAAAAACAGTTTATCTTTAGTATACAAATAAAGTAGTTTACTTCTGCAAATAGGTAGCAGCTGAGCCACATTGCCAACTTCTTGGTTTTACGGCTTCTTATTTTGAAAGTTTCTTTACTGAAACCTAACACCAAACCTACAAATGCTCACAAAAGTAGTGTAATTCACTCAGGTAAGCATGCTATCTAGTGGAAGTATGAGTGTGAATAGAAGTATGTGAGTATTGGGTTGGGTTTAGAGTTTTTGTGTTGTATTTATTGTAGTGGAAAATGCTTTCTAGTGTCTAGTGCCCATAAGCTATGAAGGAAAACAGTAATTTGGGATTTTGGGTGTGTGGGTTTTTTTGTTGGGGTTTTTCTTTTTTTAGAAGTATGCTGATCACCTATCAAAATAGGTGATGAACTGTTATTAAACTGTGCCTAAAAACTGTTTATTTTAAAATTTATAATATAAATAGCATTAACATGAATGAATTATTAGTTTAAGATCTCATTTAAAGTAGTGGTAAAATTTTCATATACATAGAAAACAATTTCAGGGTGAGCAAGCAAAAGTGCTTTTTAAAATCTCTTCTCTCATGAATATTAGAAAGAAATATCTTCAATCTTTAAATTTTTTTTCCCTCTTTGTTTTCTTTAGGAAGATGATGCTCCTCATCCTAATTATCTGAGGTTCTCTCAATGACAAGCTAAAGCAAGAACAACTGAAAGCTATTTCTGGAACCCTGGATATACAACTTAAATTTGTAGGAACCTTTCCAGAATGAAAACCACATACAGTTACCTTGGTAATTGCAAAAGGATGAGAGGAAAGTTATGATGGCAAAAAACAAAGAGCCACGTCCCCCATCTTATGCTGTTAGTGTTGTTGGACTGTCTGGAACTGAAAAGGATAAAGGTAATTGTGGAGTTGGAAAGTCGTGTTTGTGCAATAGATTCGTTCGTTCAAAAGCAGATGAATATTATCCTGAGCATACCTCTGTGCTTAGCACAATTGACTTTGGAGGAAGAGTTGTTAACAATGATCACTTTTTGTACTGGGGTGACGTAACACAAAGTGGTGAGGATGGAATTGAGTGCAGAATTCATGTAATTGAACAGACTGAGTTCATTGATGATCAGACTTTCTTGCCTCATCGGAGTACGAATTTACAACCATATATAAAACGTGCAGCTGCCTCCAAACTGCAGTCAGCAGAAAAACTAATGTACATTTGCACAGATCAGCTAGGCTTGGAGCAAGACTTTGAGCAAAAACAAATGCCTGAAGGGAAATTAAGCATAGATGGGTTTTTATTGTGCATTGATGTAAGCCAAGGATGCAATAGGAAGTTTGATGATCAACTTAAATTTGTGAATAATCTCTATATCCAGCTCTCAAAATCTAAAAAACCCATAATAATAGCAGCAACGAAATGTGATGAATGTGTGGATCATTATCTGCGAGAGGTTCAGGCCTTTGCTTCAAACAAGAAGAACCTTGTGGTAGTGGAAACATCAGCAAGATTCAACGTCAATGTTGAAACATGTTTTACTGCACTGGTACAGATGATGGATAAAACTCGTGGTAAACCTAAAATAATCCCCTATCTGGATGCCTATAAAACTCAAAGACAGTTAGTTGTTACAGCAACAGATAAGTTTGAAAAACTTGTCCAAACTGTGAGAGACTATCATGCAACCTGGAAAACTGTTAGTAATAAACTGAAAAACCACCCTGATTATGAAGAGTACATAAATTTGGAAGGAACAAAAAAGGCCAAAAATACATTTTCAAAACACATAGAACAGCTTAAACAGGAACATATTAGAAAAAGAAAAGAAGAATACATTAATGCATTGCCAAGAGCCCTTAATACTCTTCTGTCAAATCTTGATGAGATAGAACACTTGAGCTGGTCAGAAGCCTTGAAGTTAATGGAGAAAAGGCCTGACTTCCAGTCCTGTTTTGTAGTGCTTGAAAAAACACCCTGGGATGAAACTGACCATATAGATAAAGTGAATGACAGAAGGATTCCATTTGACCTTCTCACTACGCTAGAGGCAGAAAAAGTTTATCAAAACCATGTGCAGCATCTTATATCTGAAAAAAGGAGGGTTGAAATGAAGGAGAAATTCAAAAAAACTCTTGAGAAAATCCAGTTCATTTCACCCGGACAGCCATGGGAAGAAGTTATATGTTTTGTAGTGGAGGACGAAGCATTCAAATACATCACTGATGCAGATAGTAAGGAAGTGTATGGTAGGCATCAGAGGGAGATTGTTGAAAAAGCCAAAGAGGAGTTTCAGGAAATGCTTTTTGAACATTCAGAGCTGTTTTATGACCTGGATCTTAATGCAACACCAAGTTCAGATAAAATGAGTGAAATTCATGCAGTTTTGAGTGAAGAACCTAGATATAAAGCTTTACAGAAACTTGCACCTGATAGAGAATCTCTTCTGCTTAAACACATAGGATTTGTTTATCACCCGACTAAAGAAACTTGTCTCAGTGGCCAAAATTGCACGGACATTAAAGTAGAGCAGTTACTTGCCAACAGTCTTCTGCAACTAGACCATGGCCGCTCAAATTTATACCATGATAGTGCCAACATTGATAAAGTCAATCTTTTCATTTTGGGCAAAGATGGCCTTGCACAAGAATTGGCAAATGAAATTCGGACACAATCCACTGATGATGAATATGCATTAGATGGAAAAATATATGAACTAGATCTTAGGCCAGTTGATGCAAAATCCCCATACCTGTTGACTCAATTGTGGACCTCAACCTTCAAGCCACACGGTTGTTTCTGTGTGTTTAACTCTATTGAATCACTGAATTTTATTGGGGAATGCATTGCGAAAATAAGGGCTGAAGCATCTCAGATAAGAAGAGACAAGTATATGGCTAATCTTCCATTTACGTTAATACTGGCTAACCAGAGGGACAGTGTTAGCAAGAATCTACCTATTCTGAGACATCAGGGACAGCAATTGGCCAACAAATTACAATGTCCTTTTGTAGATGTGCCTGCTGGTACCTATCCACGCAAATTTAATGAGACCCAAATAAAACAAGCTCTGAGAGGAGTACTGGAAGCAGTTAAACACAATTTTGATGTTGTAAGTCCGGTTCCCACCATTAAAGATCTGTCAGAAGCTGACTTAAGAATCGTCATGTGTGCCATGTGTGGTGATCCATTTAGTGTGGATCTTATTCTTTCACCCTTCCTTGACTCTCACTCCTGTAGTGCTGCTCAGGCTGGCCAGAATAATTCTTTGATGCTTGATAAAATAATAGGTGAAAAGAGGCGTCGAATACAGATAACTATATTATCATATCATTCTTCAATTGGTGTAAGGAAAGATGAACTTGTTCATGGATATATACTGGTCTATTCTGCAAAGCGGAAGGCATCCATGGGAATGCTTCGGGCATTTCTTTCTGAAGTTCAGGATACGATTCCTGTCCAGTTAGTGGCTGTTACTGATAGCCAGGCAGACTTCTTTGAGAATGAAGCAATCAAGGAACTCATGACGGAAGGAGAACACATAGCAACAGAGATTACTGCTAAGTTTACAGCTTTATATTCATTATCTCAATATCATCGTCAAACTGAGGTTTTCACATTGTTCTTCAGTGACGTATTAGAGAAGAAGAACATGATTGAAAGTTCTTATATGTCAGACAGCACAAGGGAAACAACGCATCCAAGTGAAGATGTTTTTCCAAGATCTCCCAGAGGAAGTTCTCTTGACTATAATTACCCAGATTCAGAGGATGATGCTGAAGGGCCACCACCTTACAGTCCAATTGGTGATGATGTAAGGTTACTCCCAGCACCTAGTGACCGTTCAAAGTACCGATTGGATTTGGAAGGAAATGAGTATCCTATTCACAGTACACCACTCAATTGTCATGATCATGAACGCAACCATAAAGTGCCTCCTCCAATAAAACCGAAACCACTTGTTCCAAGAACAAATGTGAAAAAACTGGATCCTAACCTTCTAAAAACAATTGAGGCAGGTATTGGCAAAAACCCCAGGAAACAACCTTCTCGAGTGCCTGCGGCACCACCAGAAGATATAGACCAATCTGACAACTATGCTGAACCTATTGACACTATTTTTAAACATAAAGGCTTTGCAGATGATATCTACGCGGTTCCAGATGATAGTCAGAATCGTATTATTAAAGTTCGAAACTCAATTGTTATAAATACCCAAGGTGAGGAAGAAAATGGGTTTTCTGATAGAATATCCAAAAGTCATGGGGAAAGAAGGCCTTCAAAATACAAATATAAGTCTAAGACTCTGTTCAGCAAAGCTAAGTCTTACTATAGGAGAACACATTCGGATGCAAGTGATGATGAGGCTTTCACCACCTCTAAAACGAAAAGAAAAGGAAGACATCGTGGAAGTGAAGAAGACCCACTTCTTTCACCTGTCGAAACATGGAAGGGTGGCATAGATAACCCTGCTATTACATCGGATCAAGAATTGGATGATAAAAAAATGAAAAAGAAAACCCACAAAGCAAAAGAAGATAAGAAGGTAAGTCAATTGATTTAAATTTTATTTATAACTTCTGGTGCATTGTGAGAAGGGAAGAGTCAAAATATGCAAGAGTTGCACCCTATTTTGAAGCAGGTGCTTTAAAGTTTTGATGTAGCATTGTTTGATTTTTGTCCACGTTCCTACTTAACTTGCTTGGAACTAGCAAACCTGAGGGAATGAGATGGTTTGTCTACCTAATCAGCCGTTCAATACATTTCAGTTCTTTTCACCTCTGTATGTACATGTGCAGTCTCCCTTCCATGTGAGTAAGTGAAGGCAGAATTTGGTCCACAGATCCTTCTTTGTTAATCATAACATCTTTTTTTTTTTTTTTTTTAAAAAAAAAAAAAAGCTGCTTTATGAGTTCTTTGGTAGAACTGGTTCTTTCAGTTCTTGCAGTTCTGGCTGTTGGAATGAAGTTTAGGGCTGGTGAATGAAAAAGGTGGTTTCTTTTTAATTCTGAATTGTCTACGTGGAACTCTAAAACAGGAGCACGTAAGGGAAACTTTGTATAGTGGTTTTACTGACTGCTGCATTTTCCTAGCGTGGGCAAGCAAATAATCAAGTTGAAAGCTGTGCTACCTGTACAATTCTCTATTCAAACAAAATAAAGGGAACAAAATGCCAGCCCAGTATGGGTTTCTAAATAATAATGTGACATTCTGCTTGAAAAATGTCTACATTTTATTTTGATCTTTATGCTTGATAGTTACTTATTTTTTGACTTACTGTTTTAAAAATTATTATATCAAGGTAGTGTTGTGGTATAGCTACTGGATGTATACTCTTTATATTTTAGATTTTAATTTTAAGCTAACAATCATTGTCTTGCATATATTTTTTTTTTTTAACATTAAATCAGGAGTGTTCCTGGTCAGTTAGATATTTTCTTTCATGTCTCAAAATAAGTCGACCTTTTCAATATTGTCTTTTGTAGCATTTTAAAAATGTCCCTTTTAGCTTATATCTGATAGCATTTAGAAATAAGTTTTGTTCAAGTAGACCATAGTTAAATTTTACTAATGGATTAAACTCTGAATTGCACTTCCTAGTATGCAGCTGTGATTCGAATTACACATGACTGATTTAAAGGGCATTGAATTTTCTTAAGGCTTACTCATAAGCATAGATAATGATGTCTTGTAGGTATAAAATCATACGGTTAAAAATACTTTGAAGTTATTCTTTTTGGGAAACGTAAATGTTTTTAAAAACAATAATTTATATACTTTTGACTGAAATAATCTTGCTACGTAGAAATTGAAATATAGTATTCATAATCCTCCTACTTTCTCAGCTGTATTGAGTCGACAGAAAGTTCATCTGAGTTGGATATTTATGTTTAAACTGTGTAGACCTAGTGTAGTGGGATCTTCTCTTCCTGGCATTGTGTCAGGAAACCCCCTGATGTCTTTACCAAAGCCTCTACTTTTGGCTTTGGCCTGTTGAGAGGCAGCCTGAGTTGGAAGTTTCAGGCTGTTCTAAGTTTTTGTAGTGGTTAAGACTCTTGAAGAGTTATTTCAGGTTTTCTTTAACATACCTCTTGGTTTTGTTGGTGGTTTTTTAGGGGTGGTTTTTTTTTTTTTTACTTGCAAGTTGTGGTTCAGGGCTGATACTTTCAAATTAGAGAAAACTTTTAACAGGAGAAGTACGAATTATTGTAATGATGGAGAAGGCAAATTTAACTTGATAGCTAAAATGTTTGCAAGCACTCAAAATATCTAAGAATGTTGAGTATTTAGTGCTTTTGATAAGTAGTGACTTCTGCGTGCGTGTTGACTTGCATTATGTTGAAGTGAGAGTAGTTCCAGTTCATGTGATGAGTCATTTTAGTTTGTAATATACTCCTTTGGGTTTTTTAACTGTTGATTTTTTTTGCAAGAGAGATGCAGTTTTATTAGTTTTGGAATTTATTCACCGTGTTTTCCTGTGTTGTTTTAGATGAGCAGCTAGCAGTCTTTAATTACAAAAACTCAGAAATTATTCAAATGATATTTTCCTTGTTGAGTGTTATTTAATCCATGTGAGGGATGTTAGTGCACCACTATTTACAGATTACTTGCTGGTTTTTTTGAGAATTTTGACCCCTTGAATGTGAAAGGGATAAATAAAACTTTTGTACACCTTTCTGAATATTTCTTAAAGCTCTTACTGATACTTTTTCTAAATTGTTCAGCTGTATGTAAAGGGAACATGAGATACATGTGTAACTATTCTTGCTATAACTATAGTGATTCTGAAATACAGAAATCTTACGAACAAAATGAATTTGTTTGGAAAAACTCAACCTTTGAAGTCTGAGGTCCTCATTGTGTCTGTCAAAGATTACAACTTGATCTTTTCTTTTAACTTTATTTTTTTTTAAAATCAGCTTAGTAGTATGTTGTTGCTTTTGAAAACCCAAATGGGATGTACCATTCTTGATACTCCTTTCATCTTTGTTGGTTTGAGGAGTTTGAGATGTGGTGTTTCTGGGTGGATTTCTTGCATGGTATTGCAGAAAGCTCCTATGCACAGTCATTTGTGGTTTTTGCACTTCAGTTTTCAGTTGCAAAGCAGGTTTCATCTAGAGACAGCATTTGGCTATGCAGATTTTTACATTTAGAATTTTTTAAAAATTATGTTGGGGGGCGTTGGTTTGTTTTGGGTTTTTTGGGTTTGGCTTCCCCCCCCC